TATAAAATAGACAGTTGATGGGGAGAGATAGGAATAGCCAGAAATATCACCATAGAAAGCTTGTAATTCCTTCTTCTGCCTATAACTGATTGGAATACCTAAAATGGGGTTACAACTTGCCCAGTGAAGGAGGCTTCCTGTGGAGCCTCGGCATTGTGTAAGACCACAAGTGGAATTCTGAACCCTATCCAGAATCTTCTGAGGTAAGAAATCTCCACTTGAAAGGACAAGCAGACAAGCCTGGAGCAGCTAGAAGAACAAGATACTTCTTATAAGACCGACAGGAAAAATAAAAAACAATGGCAGTCCGACTGATTATTACAAGAACAAGCAAGTTGCTTGCCCCGGAGACATCAAGGCAAGTGGTCAGGTGCCCTCAGGGCAAACCCCCTTCCAAGACTAAGACTCAATGGGAATACACAAGCAGACATGCCTTCTGACTGGTGACCACGTTGGTCACTGATAAGGGAAAGTGATGGAAAAACAGCAATGAAGCTGTGAGCTAAGCACTACCACGTTCAATAGACTCCTATAAACCCAGGCGGACACCTGGTTGGCCAGTAGTATGGCAAGACCTGGTGACTCCTGGGACCAGAGTAGTGACACAGCCACAGAGGGCTAGAGCGTAGAGTGAAGTGTCCAGCTGATAAGTGAGGGCATGTGCAGAAGAACATCCACACTTGTAGATAGATAATATGCACTTGACCTGGCTTCAATGGCTGGATGATCAGAACTCAACTAGAAGAAGAAAGAAGAGGAAATAAAAAGAGTAATCTGATACAATTTGATGAACTTGACCTATACCTATGGATGTAGTAGCTCAAAAGAGGGAACAAATCTTTACAGCGAGAATCATTCCCATCCCCTCAATACACAGGGTAGACAGGGATGGGCAACTTGGATATTGGCTACCCAAAATGGGGGACTACATAGGCAAGAAGTGACTGGCTTACAAGCTTTTAAGAGGGAGCCTAGATCCAGAGGGCATGGAGGAAGGTAGAATCTCCACTGAGTAGTATCCAATCTGTTTGGGTGGGGCTGATGAAAGAAGATGGGGATAGGACTCTTGTAGTACAATTGTGAATAACTGCTATCAGGACTGACTGTGAAGGTTGGAAATGTAAATGTAGATGTTTTGTATCAAAAGGAGTGGAGTGGTTGACTTTGCAGTCCAGGAGTGGAGGTCCCTGGGACCATCAAGGGTAGTACGGGACCCTACCCAGAGAAACAGTGATGCCAGAGATGGAGGCTGAGATGATGACGTGGAGAGATGGAGCGGCTGGGGACTCTAGACCAAGAAAGGGAGAGGGTCTGTGTGCTGATGACAGAGGGGCAGGCTTGCAGGGTTGTTTGATGATGCATGGAAGGGATTGTAACCATGGCAATGAAATGATATACAATAGGATGAATGTAAAGCTAATGTTCTCCCATGTAAACTGTCACATAATTCACAATAAAACTTTAAAAAAAAATAAAACTTATCATATGATATACAATTGATGAAGTCTAGAAAGGCTGACCATAAAAAATAATGCTGACCATTTGGAAGAAATGGATGATTCCATAAAATCCGTTGTTAGGTACCACTGAATCTATAACAACTCTATGCAGAACAACGAAACACTGCCTGTTCCTGCACCAACCTCACAATCATTGCTACATTTGAGCCCACTGCTGCTGCCACTGTGTCAATCCATGTAATCGGGGGTCTTCCTCTTTTTCTTTCACCCTCCACATTACCAAACATAATATCCTTCTCCAGTGACTGGTCCCTCCTGACAATATGTCCAAAGTATGAGAGACAAAGCTAGGCCATCCTGGCTTCTCAGGAGCATTCTGGCAATACTTCTTCCAACACAGATTAGTTTGTTCTTTTGGAAGCCCAATGTATTTTTAATATTCTCCTCCAAACACTGGCCAACTTTGAAAATGCATATAAGATTTACTGAAAATACCATGGTTTGGGTCAGATGCACATTAGTTGTCAAACTAACATCTTTGTTCTTCAATAATTTAAAGATGTCTTGCACAACAGATTTGCCTAATGCAATACATCATTTGATGTCTTGAATGCTGCTTTCATGAGTGTTGATGGTTGATCCGAAGAAAATGAAGTATTTGACAAGTTCAATCATTTATCCGTTTATACGGATGTTGTTTATTGGTCCAGTGGTGAACATTTTTGTTTCTTTAGATTGAAGTGTGACCCATACTTAAGGCTGTGGTCTTGATTTTAAGTCCTCTTCAGTTTCAGTAAGCAATGTTTCCAAAGTACTTTAAGTTCTCTTCAATTTCAGCAAGTAAGGTTGTATCATTTGCGTAATCCTGGTTGTTAATGACTCTTCCTCTAATCTTTAGGCTTTGTTTTTCTACATATAATCCAGCTTCTCAGATTTTGTGCTCAGCATGCAGACTTAATAACTATGATAAAAGAATGCAACCCTGGTATATACCTTTACTAATTTTAAACCATTCAGTGATCCCATGTTGTGCTTGAAGAACTGTCTCATGGTGTTATGTACATGTTCCTCTTGACCACAATTAAGTGTCTCAAAAAACACATTCTCCACAATGTTGTCCATAGCTTGTCATGATCAATGCCTTTGCATAGCCAATAAAGCACAGGTAAACCCCTTTCTGGTATTCTCTGCTTTCAGCCAATTCCATCTGACTTCAGCTATGATAGCTCTTGTTCTACATCCTCATTAGAATCTGGTTTGAACCTCTGGCAGTTTTCTGTCAATGTACATTGGCAGCTATTTGTGAGTTACCTTTTGCAAAATTTTACTTGCATGCGATATTAAGGACATTGTCCGATGATTTCATCATTCCATTAGGTCACCTGACTTTGGAATGTAAATATAGATTCCTTCCAGTCTGTTGGCCAAGTAGCTGTCTTTCAAACTTCTTGGCATAGATGAGTGAGTGCCTCCAATGCTGCATTACTTTGCTCACAGATTTCAATTTTTATTCCATCAATTTCTAGAGCCTTGTTTTTTGCCAATGCTTTCAAAGCACCTTAGACTTCTTCCTTCAATGCTCTTAACATATACTACGTCTTAAAATGGTTGAACATCAACCATTTCTTTTTGGTATAGTTACTTTGTATATTCCTTCCATCTTCTTTTGATACATTCTGCATCATTCAATATTTTTTGCCCATGGAATCCTTCAATACTGTAAGGCAAGGCTTGAATTTTTTTTTCCCCTTTCAGTTCATTCAGCTTGAGTAGTGCTGAGCATGTTCTTTGCTTGTGGTTTTCCAACTCCAGATCTTTGCACATTTTTTTAAAATAATAGTTACCTTTGTCTTTTCGAGCTGATGTTTGAAACTATGTGATTGCCAGGTTAAAAATGGACAATACTAGTACATTTCAGCTCACTTGTTATTGTTAATTGTCACTGAGTTGGTTCCAACTTATAGACCCTGTACAGGGTTTCAGACAAGCAGCTGGTGAGTTTGAACCACCGACCTTGGGATTCAAACCAACCTTGCAGTCCAGTGCATTATCCTGCAGCACTGCACAACTGTTTATGTGTTCCATTTCACTTTTGAAAATTTTCTATATTCCTATATTCATACTTCATACATTCCATGTTCTGATTATTAATGGATGTTTGCAGCTGGTTCTGTTCACTTTGAGTTGTGCCCCATTGGTAAATGGAATGTCCCAAAGACTTAGTATATTCATGTCAACATGGTCAACTCTATTTTGAGGAGGCAGCTCTTCCCCAGTCACATTTTGAGTGCCTTAAAATCTGAGGGGCTCATCTTCTGGCATTGTATCTGAAGATATTCTGGTGCACATCATCATGTTTCAATATTCAATATTCTGGTGTGATATGACAGTGTTCCACTGCTATTCGTATGATTTCCATTGACTAAATGTTGAGAAATTGTCTGTCTCTCTTTCTTCCTAGTCTGTCTTTGTCTGGAAGTGTTGTTAAAGCCTGTCCACTATGGGTGACCCTACTGAGACTTGAAACACTGGTGGTATAGCTTCCAGAATCACAGCAGCACATAAGCCACCACAGTAGGACAAACTGACAGCCAAGTGGTGGTTGCATAATATGAAAATTTAGAATTAGAAAACTTGTTTTTCTACAAAGAAAATTTCATTTAAAGTTATAAGTGTGGTAAGGTTGCCAGTGAATGAAAAAGGTAACATAGTATGATATTTAAGTTTGTTATAACTTTCTTGGTTTATAGCTAAATACTGCAGTATTCCAAATAGAGGGATGAATTCACAGATTCTCATAGTACATTATTTTAGACAGACATTAACATTCCCTTTTAATATAATTTATTGTTAGAAAGGAAATCATTTTTAGTTTAGATAATTCATAAAATGCTCCATAGGAACAAGAATAGCAAGACTTTGTCTCACATACTTTAAAATATGACTAATAAAATGTTTGTCTGTAAATTCACTAACCAAATTAATATCATCCTAAACTTGTCACATGGTGTCCTGGTATGGTGCTGCTGGTTAATGCGCTAAACTGCAAAACTGGTTTGAACCGCAAGGTTGGTGGTTCAAGTTCACCAGTCGGTCCTTGGAAACCCTATACAGGTTGCTATGGATCAAAATCAACTCCACAGTACTTAACAACAACAATAAACTTGTCACATAGCTAATGATTTGGATTACAATTATAGTTTCAAACTTTCTTTAGTTTATACATGTGTAAGAAGTTTAAATAAGTGTTTTTTGAAGTCTTTAGTAAAATACAAACCTTAGTAGCATAATGAGTTGGGCTGCTAACTGCAAGGTCAGCTGTTTGAACTGCTAGTTATGCTGTGGGAGACAGATGAAGCTTTCTGTTCCAATAAAGACTTACAGTCTCAGAAACACTACACAGGGTCACTATGATTCAGAACCAACTTCACAGCATACAACCACTACCAGTTCATTAATATACATAAAGCAATTTTCATCCAAGTGTGCTTTCTGCAGGTATAATAAAGACTGCACACACAACACAATAATGCTTCTTACCTCCAATTTATTTCCTGGAGAAGTGGGTTTCCAGTGAGAGACAATTCACGGAGAGAAAAGCAAGCATCAACCCCCCTTATGGCACTGGTAAGATCTAGGAAACATATACATTATGAAAGGTATCACAAAGAATTTTAAAACATTATAAATTATATGCTAATGAATTCAAAGTACTCATTTCTTGTTGCCAATGTCAGAAAACATACTTAGGTGAATTGAACAAACTATCAAAGCTAATTTGGGATTGAAGTGGAAATTCTACATAATCAAGTGTGGTAAAGGTTGCCAGTGAATGAAAAAGTGAATATAGTATAATATATAAGTTTGGAATCAAGCATTCTTGCTTGGCTTTAAATCCTTATTTGTACCGATATGTACTGGAAGCATGGTGGCTCTGTAGGATAAGCACTGGACTGCAAATCACAAATTTGGTGGTTTGAGCCTACCTGATGCTTTTCTGGAGAAATATGAGGCTTTCTGCTTTCACAAATATTTACAAACTCAGAAACGCTAAACAAAGTCTTTATGAGTCATAACCAACTCAAAAGTACTTAACAACAGCAACATATCTTATAAGCTCAGATAAATGGCCTAATTTCCCTAGGTAAATTCTGTCTCCCAATGTGACTGTGCCAATTAAATGTACCTGCCATATTGCAGCAGCTCCATTAAAAAAAAAAGATAAATTAATGACCATTTTATTTAGCTATGGAATAGAGTCACTATGAATATTTTTTTCTGCAGAATTGCTGTTGTTGAGTATTGTTGAGTCAGTTTTGAGTCAATAGCAACCTTATATAGGGTTTCTTTGCAGGAGAAAGCCTCATCTTCTTACTTTGGCGTGGTTGGTGATATTGAACCACTGACTTTGTGGTTCACATTCATGCTATGATCATACATGCCACCACTGCACTCCATCTATCCCATAGGGTCAAGATAAATAGAAGTAATGTATGTAAAGGGCTTAGAGTAGTTCTTGACAGATTACAATCACAAAACCTGAAAAAATGTAATCTAAAGTTATACTGATAATCATTGGCAATTGGAATGCAAAGGTTGGAAACAAAGAGGAAGGATCAGTAGTTGGAAAATATGGCCTTGGTGATAGAAATGATGCTGGAGATTGCATGACAGAATTCTACAAAATCAATGATTTGTTCATTTCAAAAACCTTCTTTAGACAACATAAAGAGACAATTATACACATGAACCTCACCAGATGGAATAAATAGAAATCAAATTGATTACATCTGTGGAAAGAGACAATGGAAAAAGCTCCATATCATCAGTCAAAACAAGACTGTGGAACAAACCATCAATTGCTCATATGCAAATCTAAACTGAAGCTGAAGAAAATGAAAAAAAAGTCCACAAGAGCCAAAATATGACCTTGAATATACCCCACTTGAATTTAGAGATCATCTGAAAAACAGATTTGATACATTAAACACTAAAGACCGAAGACTAGAGGAGTTGTGGGATGACATCAAGAACATCTTACATGAAAAAAGCAAAAACTCATTAAGAAGACAAGAAAGAAAAGGTGGAAATGAATGTCAGATGAGACACTGAAACTTGCTCTCCAGCATGGAGATGCTAAAGCTATTTGGAAGAAATGAGGAAGCACAAGAGACGAACAGAAAATTTCAGAGAAAAAGAAGAAGACCCCCCCGTGAGATGGATTGGCAAAGTGGAAGCATCAATGGGATCAAGCGTGGCAACAATAGTGAGATCAGCCCAGGCTCAAGCAGTGTTTTGTTCTGTTTTGCATAGGGTAGCTATGAGTAGGTACCAACTCAATGGCACCTAAAAACAACAACTAAACTTAAGGTCAGTAGTTTGAATATACCAGTTGTTCTGCAAGAGAAAGATTAGGTTTCTGCTTAGATAAAGGTTTATCGCCTGGGGAACTCTATGCAAAGTTGCTAAGGATCAGAACCTACTCATTGGCAGAGAACTACCACGACCACCAATACAATGGATTATGCTCAGCAACAAGAAGAAACTATTCAATTAAATAGTATGTAAAAAATTTCATTTGAATGGTAAGCAAAGAAAACTGGACACAAAATAGAACATACTTTTGGATAACATTAATATAAAAATGTAATCCAAAAGAACACATTCATTATTGTGGTTGATACTATAAGGAGACTTACAGGGAAGGTGTTGGGGGATTTTATTTTTGAAGAGTGATACAAATATTTTTAGTGGACCAAATTAATTCATCATTCTTTAATAGGCAAATTTTTAGTAGGTGTCTGGTATGGCACTATGGGATAAGCACTGGACCACAAAGTCGATTTGAACTACGAGGTTGGCAGCTCAAACTCACCAGCCACTGCTCAGAAACTCTATACAGGGTTGCTGTGAGTCAGAACTGACTCAAGGATGCTTAACAACAAACAGCAACCATAGACGTCTACTTTATAGCTGTTAGGGGACAAGTCAGACAAGTTTGTTTACTCATCTTCATTGGGCTATTTATTTCATACATAATAGGTAACAGATTTAAAATTGAAATACAATTGCACAGGGCCACCAGAAAAATATGAAAGTCATTGATTGTAAAAATGGAAAGAAAAAAAAATTGAATTAGTTTAGCAGGCTTATCATACAGATTTGGAGCCTTGGTGTAGAACTGTAAGATAAGCAATGGGTGATTGACTGCAAGGTCAATGGTTCAAACCTACAAAAAGCTCCTTGAAAAATCTATGCAGGGTTGCTACAGGTCAGAGTCCACTCAACGGCACTTAACAAAAACAACATTATACACATTAAGAAATTCTAGTGGTGGAGTCGTGGTGTGGTGCTGTGGGTTAATGCGCTAGACTGCAAAGTCGATATGAACTGCAAGGTTGGAAGTTCAAGCTCACCAGCTGCTCCTCAGAAATCCTATACAGGGTCACTATGGGTCAGAACCTACTCAATGACACTTAACAAAAATGGTGCAGTGAGTTAAGCCCTGAGCTGCCAACCTAAAGACTGGCAATTCAAATCCACCAGCTCCTCTTGAGGGAAGGTGATGAGGTTGTCTATTCTTATAACTCTTTACAGTCTCAGAAGCCTAAAGGAGGTATTAGTTAGACTCTGTCCCATAGCGTCTGTGTGAGTTGGATTTGACTCAGTGGCATTTTATTAGGTTTGGGTATTACACAGAATGATGATTTGTTAATGCCATTTACCCATCGATGAGTTGTAAACAGCTCTTGACCATATTAAGGATGTGTGGTGGCACAGTAGGTTAAACCTTGGTCTGCTAGCCACAAGTGGGTGGTTCAAACCCAGCAGCCACTCCAAAGGAGAAAAATGAGGCCATCTGCTTCTGTAAAAAGTTAGTCTTGGAAAATCTAAGGAGCAGTTCTGTGTTGCCCTTAGGGTCACTTAGATTCAGAATCTTGAAATGGGTCTTTATCATATTTAGAACAAAAACTCAAAAGTCTATTATTTTTTAAATGATAAACTTACCTGAAAGGCAATTGTTGCTGACATCCAGTTTCTCCAAAGAAACAAAATGAAAAAGTGGTATAATTTCTGTTAAACTGGAAACAAAGACATAGATTCACAAAACAATTAACTTGGAATGTCTTCAATATTACTAATGTACCTACAGTTACTATTATATTATATTATACTATCATTTATTAACAGTACATATTGAAAATGAATTCTAAAAACCTTCAATATTTATTCTACAGTGTTGTTGCTCTTAAGTTTCATCAAGTAGGTTCAGACTCATAGTGATCCTTTACAGGGTTTCCAGTGGCTGGTGAATCTGAGCTGCTGAACTTGTGGTTAGCAGTCCAGTGTTTAACCTACCGTGTCAAACCAGATTCCTATAATAGAAGATCACTATTCATTATTAAAGAAAAATTGTCATGGATTTACCAGTTTCAATAGTAAATTTCATGAATGTGTATTTGCTATTTGGAGTCCTGGTGTAGTGCTGTGGGTTAATGCACTAGATTGCAAAATCAGTTTGAACTGCAATGTCAGTAGTTCAAACTCACTAGCTGATCCTCAGAAACCCTATACAGGGTTGCTACGGGTTGGAACCGACTTGACGGCACTTAACAACAACAACAATAACACCATTTGTTATTTAAATAAAAATTGTTTTGCTTTTCTGTTATCTGTTTTTGAAATTCCAAATTTACAGAGAAACTATATCATTTCTATATTTTCTTCTTAGTTCAACTACAAAACCTAATTCTTTAAGATAAAAAAAAAAACTACGCATAAATAAATCACTTATTTGAACTTTTCAACAGTATAACTAAATAGAGATATTATTAGTTGTTTCTTAATTTCAAAAAAAAGTTTTGAGAGCATTTTAAGTATTGTAAGTTTTCAAAGATATACTAGAGACATTTCTAAATTTGAAACATGTTCAATATTTAGACAATGAATCTAAAGAATCTAATAACAGAAAATGCTTTATACTGATATGACATAAATTTTGTACAAATATATCAGTATTTAAAATTGGTAACATTATTATTGAATGGTTTTAAATCAGAAAAGGTATGTATTATGTTTGTATCCTTTTATCATATTTATTCAATCTGTACACTGATCAAATAATCTGAGAAACTGGATTATATAAAGAAGAACATGACATCAAGTTAGAGGAAGACTCATAAACAACCTGCAATATGGAGGTGACACAACCTTGTTTGCTATAAGGGAAGAGAACTTGAAATACTTACTAATGAATATCAAAGACAACAGCCTTCAGTATGAATTGCATCTCAATGTAAAGTAAACAATATCCTCACAACTGGACCAGTACATAACATCATTATAAATGGAGAAAAGATTGAAGTTGTCAAAGACTTCATTTTGCTTTGATCCATAATCAAAGCTCATGGGAGTTGCAGTCAAGAAATCAAACAATGTTTTGCATTAGGCTAATCTACTGCATAAGACCTCTTTAAAGTGTTCAAGAGCCAAGATATCACTTTGAAGACTAAGGTGCACCTGACCCAAGCCAATGTATTTTCAGTAGCCTCATATCCATATGAAAGTTGGACAAAGAATAATAATGACCAGTGAATAACTGATGCCTTTGAATTATGGTGTTGGCAAAGAACATTGAAAATACTATGGACAGCCAGAAAAACAAGTTAATCTGTCGTGGAAGAAGTACAGGCAGAATGCTCTGCAGAAGCAAGGATGGCAAGACTTTGTCTTTCATACTTTCACTATATTATCAGTAGGGACCAGTCCCTGGAGAAGGACATCATACTTGAAAAACTGGAAGGTCAGTGAAAAAGAAAAAGACTCCCAATTATACAGATATTGATATAGTGACAGCAACAGTGAATCAAAACATAACAATTCAGAGGATGGCAAGGACCAGTGTTTTGCTGTTGTGTAGCTCACCAGCTGCTCCTCGGAAACCCTATACAGGGTCGCAATGGGTCAAAACTGACTTGATACCATTAATAACAACAACATAGGGTTGCTATGAGTTGGATGTGCTTCAATGGTACCTAACAACAACTATCCTTATTATACTATCCCAAAACCAAAACCTACTGCCATAAAGTTGATTCCGATCCATAGCAACTCTGTATATTGCTATGAGGCTGTAAATCTTTATGGCAACAAAAAGCCTCAACTTTCTCCTGCAGAAAGGCTGGTGGGTTTGAACTGCCCACCTTGTGGTTGGTATTCCAAGACTTATCCTACAGTGCCATCAGGACGACTACATATAAATTCAAATAATAATGAGCTTTCCTCCACTTTTAAGAGTTTCTATCATTTCCTAAGTTATAAATTGTCATTAAAAACTCATTCAAACAAAAAGTATAAGTAGTATTCAAAATATTCTCATCATTAGCAATAAAGTGAAAATTTATTTCAGTTGTAGTTGCACTGCATTTCCAACTTCTATGGAAAATATATTTAGACATTAACACTAAGCCAGATGATCTAAATCTTTAAATAAGACAAAAATTCCTTTGCAGAAAATATATTCCCATTATATTTACAAAAGTGTTCTGAATAATATAGTCTATAAATGTCAGAACTCCTTCTACTCAAAATAGCCTTGGCTAAAGGAAAAATTTTGGTATAAAAAGAAAGGCTAACATTGATTGTCATGTCTTTTACTTTCCTGTTTTGATAGTTAACTCAGTTACCATAGCAGAATTCTTTTCTTTTTTATTTCTACCATTAAAATAAACAAACAAACAAAAACTACTAATATTCTAAGATCAGAAGCCAACAGAGTAACATTGTGACTGGAGGCCTCGTGGTATCTAGCATGAAACTGATCCTTGTATTGAACTTGACTCCTCCCTTATACTATCCTGTTCTGCATTAACAGACAGACAGAAAATACTACTGGAAAAAAAAAAAGAAAAAGAAAAACTAATAATAAGACTGGAAGACGATCACTCTAGATGTAAACAATCCTAAGTAAATCATTACTATTTATATGAAACTTATACAATACCATTTCTTCAAAAGTTTCCAGGAAAAAGCAAATCACAAAATTAAGTAACTATGAGAAAAAGTCATAAAATATTAGCCATTTCATTTGTAGGTCTTCATAATTTCAATGCATACTTTTTACTAGTAAAATTTGCCTGAATGTCCTCCGGACACTTAAAAAGAAGAAGAACAACAAAAAACAAACTAAAACTTTGTTGATAAATAATTAATGAATTTAAGTCCTAATATTATGACATTTTCTATTTAAACACATTCGGGATTATGATAAGCAATAATTCAAAATCTTTAGATGAAAATGTAATTCTACTTAATATGTTTGGTGTTCCTGCTGTATCTTTGATATCTTCCTAATATTAAATCTTTGCTATTCTATTTATAGAATTTTGAAAGAGCAATAGATCGCAATATATTATAGCCTGCAAAATGCAGTTTCCCTCTTTTCAAACTATCTCATGTTTTAAGACCAATAAATTATATGGTGATATATAGGCTACATAATCAATGAAGTTTTAGAATGAAAAACAATAGTAATTATCTTTGCAAAAATCAATCCAAGGAAAGAAATACCTGGTTTGGCTACCCTTCTAAAACTGAAATTTTAACTTTTTAAATAATTATGGTTTATAATCACATTCTTTTTTTCTTTTTGAAATATTAATCAAGCAACTGGTTACTCACTTGCCTTAATTCCTTAGAATGCTGGGAACATAATTGTAAAATCTTAAGGAAAAAAGAATCAAAACTTTAACTTTTCCTTTTACTGATGTTCTGTGTATATTTTTTCCAAGAAAATTCAAACCAGAAAGACAAAGGACATTAGTGAAAACCTAATACCATTTGACCTTGTCACATTAGCCCTGGGCATAAAAAAGATATAAATTTCAAAGAAGACAAAAAGCAAAAGATTTATACAATGAGCAGCCAATGGGTAATAGTTTCCACTTTCTGCTCCTGTTTAGAGTCACACTGGAAGCAAAAAGGCTATGAAGCTGGAGACTCTTCTAGTTAGAACATCATTGAGTCAAACTTAAAACAGTCACATGTTCTAAAGAAAATTAAAACAAGAGTTAGGATGAAGCAAGTGTTTCAAATAATATGTACTAAATATCATTCTTTAGATATATTTCATTTATTGGAAGAAAAAAGCACACAAACACAATGTCTTCATGGTGATGAAAATATTATCAAAAATTAAAAGAAAAATGTTTGCAATTTAAAAGCCATACCAGACACTGCAAATCAAAATATTACTTTGAAAGAATTCTTGTTAGTTTTACAACATATTGTTGTTGTTGTTGTTGTTGTTGTTAAGGGCCATCAAGTGAGTTACAATTCATAGGGCCACTATGACTTTATAGTTTTTCCAAGCAGCTGTTGGTGGGTTTGAACTACTTTGTGGTTAGCAGTCCTGTACTTATTCTATGCTGGTGGTGGGGTGGTGTGCCGTGGAGTCGGTTCCAACTCATAGTGACCCTGCATTGGATTTCTGAGCTGTAAATCTTTATGGGAGCAGAAAGCCTTATCTTTCTCCCATGGAGCAAATGGTAGTTTCCAGCTGCCTATAGCACTACTCTATAAAGTCACATATGTTTTCTTTTTGGATCAACATGAAAATCCCATAAAGTCTGTTGTTCTTGTTGTGGGGTGCCTTAGAGTACAACAGAACAAAACACTGTCTGGTCCTATACCAACTTCACAATCATTCCTACGTTTGAGCTCATTGTTGGAGCCACTTTGTCCATTCATCTTATAAAACAAAAATTGAGAATGTTAGGACTCAGAAAGCGAGACTAGACTGACTTGTTCAACATCAACTGACCTAAAACTCAAACCTAATCTGCTGTTTTTGTTTTCATCAAAGCTCAGATATTTGTACAAGTAAAATGCCAATGTACAAGTAAAACCATAATGCAAGATTAATAAACTGTATTGTTAATGGCATTAAGCTTGTTAAGAAAAATTCTGATTGAAGATTTTCTCAAACTATGACTCTTAAGAAATATGTAATTACTCTATATGTCCATTTCTATCACATATCAGTGATTCCCTCAGGCCTTCTCCCTTTATGCACTCAAAAATAAGAGATTGCATGTTACAAAGAGCTTTGAAAAACCCAGAAAATTATATATTCAGATGGGTTGTTGTTCTTGTTCAGTGCAGTTTAGTTGGTTCCAACTCATAGCAACCCTGTGCAGGGTTTCCAAGAATCATTGGGGAGTTTGAACTGATTTTGTGGTTCCCAGTCCAGTGTTGATCCTATAGTGCCTCACCAGAGTATTATTTAAATACTCAAAATTTATAGTGGTGGTGTGCCATGGAGTCGGTTCCAACTCACAGTGATCCTGTACAGGGTTTCCAAGGCTGTGAATCTTTACCGGAGCAGAAAGCCTCATCTTTATCCTCCAGAGCCGCTAGTAGTTTCAAACTGCTGACCTTGAGATTAGCAGCACACTCGTAACTGCTACTCTATCAGTAAATACTATACAATTATTTCACTTCTTTTTTGTGCAGAAAAGCTTAAAAGATAAAATTCTTACATTGCTGAGTTCTATAAGGGTTTGTTGTTGTTTTTAAGTGCCATCAAGTCAGTTCTGACTCACAGCAATCCTGATAGGGTTCCAAGGAGCAGCTAGTGAGCACTGACCTTATGGTTCAAACCAATCTTACAGTCCAGGGCTTTGTGCTGCCGTGCCATACCAGAACTCCAGAGCTCCTCTAAGAGCCCTCTAAAATGGTGCAGCACCAAATACCTCAGTGTTAAATGTTATAAAGCAAAGCAAATATACATTAAGAATTATTTGGATTCAGTATTCCAATTACTGCTATCAATTCTGAAATAATTTTTATACTTGAGTTTATACAATTCCTTGTTATGTTAGACTGGTATTAGCAATAAGACATACCAGATAAATAGAATTCATAAATATTAAGTTTTAGAACTTGCAGTTGCTATTGTTAAATGTTGTTGAGTCCCTAATAATGACCCTGTATAGGGAAATCCTATACAGGGTTGCTGTGGATCAGAATTGACTCAAAGGTACTTAACAACAACAACAACAGGGTTTCTGAAGATCGGCTTGTGGGTTTGGATCACAGACAGTGTGGTTAACAGTTCGATGTTTATCCTACAGTGCTACACCAGGTCCTCAGTTTTAGAAGTAGAATGTTTTCTAAATTATTTAAATTGTCCACAGAAAATAGAGACATTGCTTTTCAAAAAAAAAAAAAAAAAAAAAGTCCTTGTTTTACAATAAGCACTGGACTGTGAACCACAAGGTCTGTAGTTCAAGCCCACCAGCCGCTCCCCAGGTGAAAGATGAGGCGTTCTCTTCTCCCACAAAGCTCACTAGAGCTTCAGAAATCCTGTAAGTGGTCACTATGAGTATGAACCGACTTGATGGAACTTCTAAACAACAACATGTATAATAAATGTGGTATATTCAAGTTAATCAAGTTTAACTGTTATGGTTGAAAAGCTATTTCTCTAGCACAAATTAGGTAAGTCAGTTACTGAGTGATTTACTATATATGCTCAAATTGTAGGTGAGGAGTTTACTTTGAATTTTGTTTCCTGACTGGGAAATATTCTGAAAAGAGCCAATGGATCAGTGCATGGTCCAAATTACTTAAACGTTGTTATGTGATGGAGGTGGCTCTGGGAATAAATGTCCTTTTTAAAGTACACATTAACTTTCAAATATTTGATTTAAACAATTTAAGGGAATTTTTGAACACAGATTCAATTATCTATTTTTCAAAGTTTACTATGTGGAAGTTAAATTATGTGGGGTATGCATGTTCAAAGGATGGACATGACTATAGCATGCATTGTTTTATATATTTTTAGATTTTATGTATTTTTAGAATAAATGCATATACACTAAAATCTGGTGTTCTTGTTCACTTATTTTTTAAAAAAATTATAGAACTCAAACAAGTAATTTTTTATTAAAGGTGGTTCCTTTTCCCTACTCCATGTGCCTTTGATGAATAAATTAATCATATTAGAATGAATAGGTCTCAATGAAATATTAAGCAGAGGCAGACACACACATATTGTGTCCCTGTTTTGGTTTTAGACAGTTATTTTCTGCAACGATCCAGATGTTTGGTGGTCTCAAATAGATCTTCTGTGGCAGGTACCCATTTCAATTTAATGTTAAGGCATTTTTTTCTAAGTGTTACTTTATATCCTCAGGGAAATCAAATTTAAATCAATCTTAACAGTTACAAAAAGACATGCAAGTTGAGAGCAGCTTTAAAATCGGTCTTCCAGGACTTAATAAGTACCATTTGAGAGAATGAGACATCCTTCTGAATTAAATTAACTACCTCCTGTATTTTCTGAGGACTATATTCTTTACAAATATAAACAAACCTAACCTGAGAGTTCTCTACAAGTGCATCTTTGAGAAGAAACAAAATGAGAATCAACTGACAACTGATTGAATATTCTACTAATATTTTAGGATACGTCAAACATTAAGTTTTAGAATTCTTTTATTTATTGTGATGAATTTTCACTGGTAAAATCCAGCAGCATTTCTGGTTGTTTCTGAGCGTCACATAATAGTTTTATGCTATTATTCACTGTATCTATTGTTTAAGCAAAGTATATTTTTACCTGTTTTGAGAGAGAGTAAGGTTTTGTAGTAAAGGCAGCCAATATGAAGAAAATGTTTCCACAGTTGAAATGCTGTTATCATCCAATTGCAAATCTCTTAGTAGAACGTGATTCTCCAATGATGGAAGCTACATTCAAATTTACTCCATTAGTTATATTAAACAAAATATTTTATCACTGATAGAATTTTAAAAATATAAACCTACCAAAACAGACAATAGATATCTTATGGTAAGCTGTATATCATAAAACAAAGTATAATGTAATTAGACTTTTTTATGAATTAAATTTCTAATAATTAACTTCGTAATGTTTTAATTAGCTCTTTTCTCTTTTATAAAAGCTATTCATGAAGAATAGTAATCAGAATTTCTTAAAAGTTAAATTTAGTTCCACTAAAGTACTGAAATATAACTAAAAAGTCATGATTTTTTATTTACTAGTATTATGAAAATGCTAATGGATAAATTAGATTCATTAATAAGACATTGTTGAACTGTGTTGAATTTTTTTTTAACAGAGAAAAGTATGCAATAAAGTAAATTCAAAGTTAAATGCAGCTGGTGAATGGGAAAATAAAAGAAAAACTGAAAGTACTCAACATCACTTTTAATATGTGTGATCAATATTTTCACCAAATGAAAATTATTGCATTAATTACAGAAATCAATTATTCAAAGCAATCACCTCACTTAGATAATTTCCCTGTAACTTCAAAATCTGGAGTAATCCACAATTTGCAATGCCCTCAAGTTCAGTTAGATGATTATACGAGCAATCCAGGTAAATAATGGTGGGAGTATCACAAAGACCTTTTGTACTAATTAGCTGATTGTGGTCCAAAATTAATTGCTGAAGATTTTTCAAAGATTCTAAACCACCTGAAAGAAAAAAATTCAAGATTGCTTGTTTCATCCGTTCTTCCAGACTCTAAAACTGAGTTTTAATTGTGTCTCTCCTAAATTGTTACATTTATATATTTCCCATTATTTAAAACTATAAAGACTTAACCCACATTCCTGGTGAAATTTACCTCATGAAATGTGTTATTATTTCAGTTTGCATTTGTGGCATATATTTTTGAATGATATAATACTTTTACTTTCAAATGACAATAGAACACAGTGAGAGAGAAATGACTCTAAAAACAAAAATTTGCAACTCAACCTCAGGGTCTTTGGAGACTGAATGCCTTTGTTGCCCAAATTAGCTCTAAAATCAGTGTGATGTTACATAATGAATATTAGTGAAGATTTTTTAACTAAGGCTCAGTGGTAAGACAGAAAGTGAGGTTTTAAAAAAAAGCCATCAGAAGTTAGCATTGAAAATAGATGTTGATGGACTCTATAAAAGTTTATGGATGATAATCAGAATCTTGATTGTTTTTACACCATCTTTTCTCTACAGGTACTGTCCTATTGTATGAATGAAAAAAATGTGAGTGAATGAAAAGACGGTTTCAGGTCTAAAACAAGCACTGATAAGCAGAATATCTTCAATGAGGTTTGTACTCATGAAAGTCACTGAGGCTACATCTTGAAGAATCTAGCTTTATTCTGATTTTCTTATCAAACTCCCACAATTTTTTAAAATTAAAATTTCAAATTGCTGTTAAGTGCTGTCAAGTTGATTCCAACTCATAGCAACCCTGTATAGAGTTTCCAAGGAGCAGTTGATAGGTTAGAACCACCGACTTTTCAGTTAGCAAACCATTACGACACTCAAATAGATACGCATTATTTTACACACCTAAAGGTATTTGATAATAAATTGATATATTTCATTGTGAAAAGAAACAAAATTTAAAATATAGAATTTATCAATAATTTATTTCTGAAGCAATTTATAGCACTTAACCTAAGATTTATTCTTTTGATTACATATTATTCTTAATAAATGCAGAAAGTCGGCTTATACAATAGATGAAGAAATTTTGAAACCATCAAGTAACATTACCAAAACCTGACAGGAGAATCTAATTCTGAACTAGTTCTAGAATTCAGATAATATTATAATTAGAGTTATGAGCGTATTTTATGCAGACACATTTCAAGTAAATTGTATTTCAAAAATGTTGGATACTAAATAATTCAAGTTAAGTAAAGCAAAATAATGTTTAGATTACTTTCCTCATAAAAATGCTTGTATTTAGGTTTAGGAGATGGAAGCACTGCTTTCAAAGTATACAGACCTAGATGGAGGATAATAATAGTTGAGAAAAAATAGTTTCACATTTTGACATTTTTGTTTAATAAAGGCTTCTATGATTTTGCAGCAATACTTTTTTACGTACCCTCATATATATGTTGTTGTTAAGTGCCATCGAATTGGTTCTGACTCATAGCAACTCTGTATAGTAGGGGTTGGGTACTTTTTTTCTGACAAAATTTATAAAATCATTGGCAGGCCATACAAAATTATCAACTTAAAAAGTAGCCTGCTATATTTGGTCAAACTCACCCCTAATGTGATGGCTGGAACTGCAGTTGACTTGTCAAGACCAGACCAAATGGTTTTGCAGGCCTTATATGGCCCACAGGCTGGACGTTCCCTACCCCTGATGTATAGGGTTTCCAAGGAGCAGCTGGTGGCCTTGAACTGCTGACCCAGTGGTTCAAAGTCTAGTGATTACACATCTCCAAACCAGGAATCCTGAATATGAGGAGGTTTGAAAAAGCTTATGGAAAAATTAAAAGATAATGATTTTTTTCCCCCCACAAACTTTCTGAATCCCCTTGTTTGCATGTGTGCATGAATGCACGCACACATATAGGGGCCGTCCCTTGGTTTTGAACACTCTGATTTACAAATGAGTTGCCATCTGTGTTTCCTTGAACACAAACCTGGAGACTATACACAGGAAGGGGCCGAGTTGCATTTCCTCTCATTCCTCATTCATTCCTTGTCCTGTAGTGGCCAGCCCACACTCACCCAGCCCTGGACCCAGTAGAGTATGACTTGAACCAAACCCAGAAAGTTATGGTGTTGCCTGGAGGGTGCATTGCAGGTAGCAGAGAAAATGCAGGCTCCAATATGGTCAGGAGGCATAGGCACAGTCCCAGATTCACTCTGTATCTATTGGGGCAGTTCATGCTTTGGCATTATTTGCAGTAGAACATAGTGTGGAAAGTATGGCATGGCAACCTGTCTCCCAGACAAACCTCGTATGTCCCCAGCTTTGTCTCAGTCTTATCTTGGTCAAATATCATGTGGCCGGAGCCAGGTGTCATGCTCCCAGTGATGACAGGTGTCAAAAGAACAAGACACTAGCTACCGCTACCAGAGGTAGGCAAAAAGCTCAACATAACTGACCACCAGCCACCTGGGACTGTGTTCTCACCGATTACACAGCAAACATACAATAGTTCATAATAACAAATGGGTGCTATGGTAAACACATCAAAATGCTGCTATCATTAGTACTACATTAAAGATGTTTGAGTGTATCTAGAAATGGTTCTTTAATTTTTATGCATAGAAAGCCACACTATATACTATGACAAGCATTAGACTTAACATATGAAATAAACTAACTCTTCTCACTTAATGTGCAAATTTGCCTTACACAGAATTAGGAACTACATTTGTTAGTAATCCAGGACTACCTATATTTGAAAAAAAAAAAAAAAAATGCAAGTTATACAGCAAGTATTAAAGAAAACAGTTATTCTTTCTCCACCCTTGACCAATAAGCAAAAAGTGAGTGTTGAACAAAAATACTGAAAAACCTGATGATGTTACCCATGGTTTTACCAGTTCTTACGATGATTCTGACCCATGAGGGCCCCCTATTTGTCAAAGTAGAACTGTGCGCCATAGAGCGTCCAACAGCTGATTTTTTAAAGTACATTGCTAGGCCTTCCTTCCAAAACACCTCTGGGTGGAGTCAAACATTTTGGTTAGCAGCCAAGCAGGCTAATCATTTGCACCATAAAGGTTTATTATAGCCAAAGTAGAAGAATACTGTTCTGGTGTGATGCTGTAGAATAAGCAGTGGACTACTAACCATAAGATCAGCAGTTCAAACCCACCAGCCACTCCTCAGAAACCCTATACAGTATCTCTATGAGTCAGAACTGATTAAATGGCACTTAACAACGACAACAGCAAAACGGTGTACATAGTCTGGAAGATATATTTCAAATTTTAAGATGAAACATTTAAAGGAAATTCAGAAAAATAAAAAAGGAGATTTGGTAAGGTATCTAAAACAATGCCCAAAGTGTAAGTAAGGGGTGTATGAATTTCAAAAAAGAAAAGCTGTTTTTAAACAAATTTTGATTACATAATTTATTAGCCAAGGGAAAGAGCTGTTGTTAAGTTTCCTTGAGTGGGTTCTGACTCATAGCAAG